ATTAGGGACAAAATTCTAAAGATATACTTAAGTAGTATAATAAAGTTGGCTAAGTCGGTGGCCTCATCACTAAGCATTGACACTACAGAGCTCTATTGTCACGGTGAGGGAGCGCAGCCGCCTCGCGAAGAAAACTGCTGACAATCCACATGTTGTATAATCTCAAAAATTTCAAAACTCAAAAAATTTTGTTATTACTTGTATAAAACAAAAAAATCCTATTATTTTTACACAAAGATTTTCAAATATGTTCTTCATGTTGTTGCAAACAAGTTTACTTAAAGTTACTTAATTAAATATCTTAATAAAAATTGCTTTTGTTATTTTTTAACTTGGAATTACTTTTTCGATATTTTTTTTTTCAAGATTAATTTATAAATTAAGAAAAATTTTAATAAAATAATTTATTGACTGTCCTTAAATAAATTTGTTCTCTATATTATACAAAATATAATTTATAAATTTTGGACAATTTAGCTTTTTTTTTTATTACACAATAGACTAGAATATAATTCCACTTTTTTTTGTAACACACTGTAAATAAAGCTTTCTTTACTGTATTCTTCCTCCTCAACGTATAACAATCTCGAAAAAATTATACGCTTATTTTCTTCTCGTCGTTGGCTTGTTTTCAACCTGTTGGCAATAAAACAAAACAAAGTAATCGTTGTTGCGACTGTGTCTGCAGAAGTAAGACGTCTTCGATGGTATGTCCACATATAAATTGACTATAGATACAGGTTGATTCCGCACAGTTTTGTTCATTCGCAACTTTGTATGCACAGAGACTCTTTATTTCCATATATGCTTTGCTGACCAGGACAAGCCTACAACGTAAGCGTCTAAAGAATTGCGTCTAACATCAAGTCCCCGCTCGAACTTTAATATAAAGAGTCGCACTAACACTCGCTCTCGCTGCAGCAACTTTTGCTTCTGCTACATTATCACGGAAAGTAGAAATTGTCGGCTACCAACGAAATGCAAATGTCCAAATGGCTCAATCTGGCAGTAGTGATGGTGTAGCAGCTACAGTAGTTTATTCAACACGGCATTTTCCGACAATCCATTGTTATCCTAATGTATGTGTGTTCAGCCTGGCTATGTTTTTATATTTGTCGAAAGCAATAGTAATGTCCAAATTTATTAATTCTCAGCCCTTTAGACAGCACAGTCTTGGACCCTAAGTCATCGATACTAAACCCGTTGTTATTTGCATGACGCATTTTGTGTTGAGAAATTGTCATTGTTTAAGGAACAAATTTCAAAAAACAAATATAACAGTGTCATTGTCCGTTAAGAATATCTCGCTTTTACAGACTCTTTTTACCGTGCATTTTATGGTCAAATTTTTAGGACATCTATTCATTATGATAAATGTCCAATATCAAATTTCTATTAATACAAACCATGCACACAACGTAACATATTCTGCTAAACTTTATCTTACCAACATATTTGATTATTGATTTTACTCTGCTGATACGATATTTATTGGTACTTTATGTTCAGTTATATCGACAGGATCAGTTTTTATCGCATTCTTATGACAATATCGCTATATATGCTTCCCAAACCATTATTAATACAAGGTTGACTATAAAATGTTATTTAACGCGAGAAATATATTCGTGTTACATGTGAACAACCAGATAAATTAGTATGGTGGTAGTCATTGTCAAAAACTTGGTGAATAATTGCACCTGAGTTTGAGCTTTAAAAGTACTGGACGAACTGAAAGAAGGATTAGTGGTAGCACTAGTAGTACTGCTCACACTGACACTGCCACTGCCACTGCCACTGCTTGGCTTAGATGTCGGAGGGGGAGGAAGGGTGGTAGATGGAGGAGAAGAAGAAGGAGCGCTACACTTATTATCAGGAATACATTGCGTGCCATCAGGGCAACATCCACCTTGCTGATCTTGACATAGAAAATATCCAGTGTTGCACGTAGGAGGAGGAGGAGGAGAAGAAGAAGGAGAGGGAGAAGGAGAAGGAGCAAGAGGAGGAGGAGGAGGAGGAGGAGGAGGAGTGGAAGCACTACACTTATTATTAGGAATACATTGCGTGCCATCAGGACAACATCCACCTTGCTTATCTTGACATGGAAAATATCCAGTGTCGCACACGGGTGGAGGAGTACCAGGAGTACCAGGAGTACAATGAAGGTCAGGTGTGCAAACGTGGTCAGGGGGGCAGCAACCCTTAGTACCACAAGGTATATCGACAATAGTGCATGGAATGTTGCAGTGGCCGTCAGATAAGCATTTCACGCCTGGAGGACAACATCCATTGATATTTGGACACGGAACGTATGTTGGATCGGCGCAGGCACTAGCGTTTGCCAATAGAGATAATCCAGCATATTTGCCATTAAGCTTCCTTGCTTCAAGATATGTGGTATTAGATCTACCTTGTAGCCGAGAATTTGTGGTGGCAGGTTTAAATTGCAGCCGAGAATTCGTGATGTCGGATCTACTTTGCAGCCGAGGTGACATAGCATAAGCAAAAGTTACGGCAGCGAGAATGAGTATCAAAGTGAGATACTTCATATTGAAGTTCGAGCAGGACTTGACACAAACCCTGATGCAAAATAATCGTGCCGGGACGCATTATTTAAATACTTACATCCTGTAGCGTTGTACGCTTTTTTTGTGATTGCTCCCCAATTGAATTCACCTTTTTTGGCCAATGTAACGCCATATATGTTGAAACAAAAAGTTCTATATTTAATATTATCATAAACTTAAGTTGACTGTTGGCAAGATTATAATAATCGGTTAAAAGCATCCAACTTGACAAAGTTTCTAACGGCCCTAATTATTTAACAGATAGCGAGTGAACGGTTGGTTGTATCGGTCGAGAATGCTAATGCTTAGTTCATTGACCATCCACAGATATCTGCGTTATTTAATAAACATTAACACCAAGATGTAGAATGAAACCATGTACAAAGATCTGCTTATTATCTTAGAAGACGCAATGATGCATACGATTACTTCAATTGCTGAACAAAGCATATTGATTCTTGCGTTGACAGGAAAGACAAGAAAAGCTTTGATAGATTATCGCAATCACAATGTTTGTTTTAAAAAGGCTTCATTCATGTTGTATGAATTCTACTAGTTTGTATTAGTACAAGGCGAATACTCGTTTTAATGTTAAACAGAGTTAGTGATTATGTTTCATGGTAAGAGCCTAAGAGCTATATAACCGGCCGCGAACTAAGAAAAAGGTGTTTATTTAGATGATTTTACGAAAGTAGCTGAAAATAAAGTCTTGTGTAGTAATACAATTCGGCAGTTAGTTGTACGTTGTTTGGATAGAATGGGTTCAACTGTAGGTATTGTAAACCGGAAGAAATTAAGATAAACCGACATTTGGTCAAATATTTGTATCGTGCTACAATGCATTACAAATTTTGATAAACAAAGCGTAAACATTTGAAAAAACCTTTTGATAAACAAAAGTGTTCGTTTGCGTTCGACATGGGAATTGGCCGAGTTTAAATATTGATTTACGAACAAATAGCTGAAGCTGTTGCTCGTATTATTAAACCCTGTTGCAGACACGATCACCCAACATGCTAATTTCATCATTAATCAAGTACGTTTTCAACTGTTTGGCAATAGAACAAAATGAAATAATCTTCACCAGTATGTTCACATATCAATGGACTATAGATATAGTATCTACATGGTTTAGTTTCACATAGTTAACATTGCAACTTTATGTGCACAGAGACTCTTTATTTCCATATATGCTTGGTGACCAGAAAAAGCCTACAATGTAAACGTCTAAAGAATGCGTCTAACATCACTATCAAGTCCGCTCGAACTTCAATTGCGCTATACTCGCTCTCGCTACTGCGACTTTTGCATCTGCTACACTACATTATCTCAGAGAGTAAACCTGATATCACGAATTGTGGCTATCAACAATCACGCAAGTTGGACAGGTTCCATGTCAAGACAGTGACGGTTGATGTATTCAATGGTAATGATGATAGCAGCTACAGTGGCGATGCAGTGGTTTATTCAGTAAGGCACTTTTATTCACCGAGCTTCCGACAATAATCGTTGTTATCCTAGTGTATGTGTTCAGCCTGGACATGTTTTTTTATGTTATACGAAAGCAATAAATAGTAATGTCCAAGCTTATTAATTCTCATTATAATAACCTTCTTAGACAGCAGTCTTATATAAAAAAAATAAAGCTGACACTTCTAACGAAGATACTACTATTCAACAAATCTAAGAGTCACTGAATACAATTCATTGCTGAGCCCGTTGCCAAATTTGTGCATTTTGTCATGAGACATTATCATTAATAAGAAGACAACACCATTTCCAAAAACAAATACAATAGTGTTGTTCTAGGATTTGGCCCATTTCAATTTTGCAAATATGGGATAATCTACATCACCATAACACATACTAATACTAACAGATATTTTATTGACTATACCAGATATGCAATGGACGTAACTTATGTTCTGACGCATGTGATTGTATACACCCGAACAAGCAGTATAGCAAATATGAATTACATAATAATAATAAAAGAAAATTAGTGTTTCTAATTAGTTGTCGCTTTTATCAACTAGCAGTTATTTGTTAACGTTGAATACGCATAGATTACATCGCACCTATTCCCTCTAACACACAGGTTTTTATTTTTGAGTAATAGAATTTTTGTTTCGCCAATTTGCATTATACCATATAAAGAATTAACAATTTTGATAAGCTGCACCACCCGGTTACGTTATTCTGCTAGACTTACCCGATATGGCTTACTCGGTTATTGATTTTATATTTATTGGTATTTATATTCAGTTATATCGACAGGATCAGTTTTATTGTATTCTCGCTATATCTGCCTCCCAAACCATGTTTAATACAAAATTGACACGTATTGTATAAGATGTTATTTAACAAGTGTGGGGACGATTACTTTTAGGTACAAGAAATATATTTGACGTTACGTGCAAACAACCAAATAAATTAGTATGGTTGTAGTCATTGTCAAAAACTTGGCTGTGCCTGAGTTTGAGCTTTAAAGGTACCGGATCAACTGGTTACTACTATTAGTGGTAGTAGCACTACTGCTCGTGGTAATAGTACTGCTATAGTGGTGTAGTGCTACTTGTAGTGGGATTTGAGCCGCCACCGCCATCGAGAGTGCCACCATTGCCGCCAACAGACATTTAGATTATATAATGATAATATATTAATATCTATTATTTAATTAATTAAAACATTGATTTATGGTTGTTTCATTTGACTACCACTAATAAATCTTTCAAGACTGTTTAGCAGTCTTATCTGTTCACCTACATCTCCCTACTGCAACAAAAATAAACGTATATTTCCTAAGCTTTTAATGCACTAACAATAGTAATCTCAGTACTGTCAGCTATTTCTTCGGCATTACCACCTCACCAATGTCTTCTTTAAAGGTCTCTGTGATTTCTCTAATAAGTGGTCATCCTCTGGAATATAACACACAATATTCTCTTCAGGAATAAACAAAAACTCGTTAACTTGCATTGGATCGGAGAGGTAAAGCTTATTGACCATTTCACTCAAATCGATTCAACCTTCTACTACACGCGTCAATCCGCAAGATAATTTTTTATTCAACATAATATAATTGGTCAATAGAAACATCGATCACGTGCGTGCATTTATGGATAATAGTTTGTATTAATATTAATATGCACAAGACCGAAAAAATCATTGCACGGTCTTACTAGCTCAGTAAAGTAGTAAGTAATCATCATCCGAATATCCCATCTCCTTCAAACTTGCACCAATTTTATCCAACATGGCTGGTGGACCGCAAGCAACTATTTTCTTCTGTATCATAAGATAATTAAATGAAACTCCCGTTGGAATTCGGGGAAGGGGTCGCATACTATTTGGCGATTCAGAGGTAGTTGAACCTCCTGATGCGTCAGTCGTGATAATTTCTTGTGCTCCATCGTAACTAGTAATAGGGCTAACTATTTCTTGATTAGTTTCCGGTTGACCAGACATATCGTATTTGTCACTATTAGTTATTCTCAGACTGGAATGACCAGATAGTTCACCACTTCTCAAAGCCAAACTGTCTCTTCTGTCGAGCTGCGCCACTGGGTCATAAAACGTTGACGAGTACGGACTTCTCGGAGAATTTACCGCGGAAATATTCATTCCATGATGCATTAACCATGTATGTAACACAGTAGTGCTAACATGTCCATGTAAACCTTCCCATTCGGCACCTACAATTGGTGGATTGGTTAACATATAGGTGACCGTCAATGCTCCTTTAGAGTTTGCCGCCTTGCTTTCAAGTTCGAGACCCATAATGATATCTTCAACTCTTTTATTTGCGAAAAGCAGATGCATGGAAATGTGGCGATCTCGACTGCTGGCGAGGGCGTTTAGATGAAAATTGATTAACTGTTTGATTGAGGGAAGAGAGAGTGAGTAACAGGAAGATTAGCTAGAGCGATACGTATAGATAGTACGACACTAAATTTCCACTTCCAACCAATTAACCTACCTGCAACATTGGTGTAATTCCGCTTCCTCCGGCAATCATAACCAATTGATCCCAACAACCGTCGAAGCTGTTCGGATTCAACAGTAAGTGGCTGTTTTTGCCTGTCGTATTTGACCCACTTGATAAATTCGATATTATACTCTGTGTTGAATTGAATCTACGTCCCATAATAGTTGATAATTCATTCTGTGTCATATGGGTCACTCCACCACGATCCGACAAGTCAAACGGGCCCCGTACTTTGAGTTCGTACCCAATTCTTTGATGAGCTAAGTGCTGAGACATTAGGCCATGTTCATAGATTTTCACAACTATAGAGAACCTATGCGATATTCGGCCTTCGACTGGAGTATAAGCACGGATAACCACTTGACCCTTCACGCGGGCTTGGATTTCGATGTAATCTCCCGGGATAATGTGATCATTCTTGGGGTTTTTCAACTGATGAATTTTAGTAAACGTGAATTTTATGACGGGATGTTCCGGATCTCCATTAACCAACACCTTTTCGGCCAGCTGATATCTTTTAAAAACTCGAACTGCAGTCTCCTTTTTGAGATCTGTATCAAAGTACGGTTGTTGTAGTCTAAAATATGACTGTTCAGAAATCGCTGGCGTCGGAGGCTCATCGACATTCGTTTCATCATAACTGTCCATTTTTACTTTTCCGATTACCATGCCAGCGAATTGCATCACTGCAAAATTCGTGTGCTTGTGTCTGGCGATCGGCTCGTCAGATTTATGGAAACGTTCCATGTTGAAATCGTCAATTTTTGCAGATAACGTTCTGCGTCTACGAAGATTTTGTTCAGGGTTTTGCTCCCACAGATGTGTATAGCGTCCTAACACAGGGCTCACAAGATGGGCTCCTCTTGAATATGCTGCCATGTTGTTTCGGTCTTTGGCATTGGGGTCCGGATCTATTTCTTCTTTTGGTG